CATACAAAGTGTTGAACTCTTTACCTAGAATAGAGTTAATCTTCTGTGTATAAAGTTAAAGAAAATAGATCTTAGTAAAAAACAAGACTAGGAACAAGAGGGGAAAGAGGAAGAGGGGTAGGAATGTGGGTGGGAGGGTGGGTACCATGGGAAGAATCACTATATTCCTAAAGTTGTATTTATGAAATGCATGCAAATAAATAAAAATTAATTAATTTAAAAAACAAGACAAATGAGCTATCAAACCTTGAATAGACTTAGGAGATCCTTAAGCACATATAGCTAAGTGAAAAATGCCTGTCTGAAAAGCCTAAATAGTGTATGGTTACAACTGTAACACATTAAGGGAAAGCAAATCTATAGAGCTAGTGAAAAAAAAAATTAGTGTTTGCCAGAATTTAGAGGGTGAGGAGAGATGAATACATATAGTACAGAGGATTTTTAACACAGTGAAATCATTCTGTGTGATCCTATAATGGTGCATACATGATATGCACTTATACAAACCCACAGCTGTGTATATACAACAGAAAAAGTGAGCTCTAAACTACAGAGTGTAGTTAATAATAATGTAACAATATTGATTTCCAAGTATAATAATATATCACATTAATGTAGGTAATGAAATAAGGGCAATTGTGTGCTGGCCGAGTGGAGGTACAATAAAAGGAAATTCTCTATAATTTCAGTTCATTTTCTTCTGTAAACTGAAAACTGGTCTAAAAATAAAGTCTGTTAATTTTAAACAAGAGTGATCTTTTACCACAGCAAATGAATTGGGATAGAGAGGTTGATTTCAGAGAGAGGCATTGACATGAATGAAGGCTGAAGGGAATTAAATGTGTAAAGAAATGTAAATACTCTAGTTGGGCAACAGAACATACATAGGGGACTATAATAAGATATCAACATCAAAAAGATAATCTTGGATGAAATCCAGTAGCTTGAATTTTATTCCGTAGACAGTAAGAAGTTAGTGGAAGTCTTGAAATTGGGAAAAAAGGCAAAGGAAAACCAGCTAGGAAAACCAGGTATTGTTATATAAAGGATTAGTGTCTGGTAGTCACTGTTGAAATGGCAAGACATTAAGCAAGGTTAAGAAGACTTGGAAATGAAATTAACGTGGGATTCAATGGGATAATCAGAGGATCACTGGAGTTTGTGTATGTCATGGTTAGGGATGTTGCCATGATAGAAGTTATTAGAATACCATGATGTATTAGAAAAAATACATATATTAGCTTCCTTTATGTTGACAAGAAAGAGATAATTCATTGTTTTGTGATTTTTTTTTAAAAAAGGGTTTGTCTTTATTTCTATTTTATTAAAAGTTTGATGTATATTATCTGGCATGTGAGCAAGTGAGCCAGATTGCTGGAATGTTATACACTATTGATGGCTTTCAATTTGATGTTTTAAGCTTTGGGAAAAGGTTGAGTTACATAATTCCATATTTGCATATGCTTTGCATGTGGAACTCATGTGGGGGCCATGTTAAAGCAGCCTGTAATGTAAATATTAGCTTAGAGTCTAAGGCATTATAGTCAAGTGATGATTATTTATTCATTATGGTTAGTTATTCATGATCTGAAAGTGTGAGTTTTAAGTTTTTCATGATCATTTGAAATGTTTGATGAATTATATTTTAAAACTTCAATGGGCTGTTAAATTCCATTTGTAGTTTGATTTTGTTTGCATGTCAATTGGACTTTAAGTAGGCATATTTCTTGATATAGCCAGATGGTGTCTTGGTGATGCTGAAAATCTTTGGAGAATGAGGAATGATTATTACACTGTTAAGGGAAGTATGAATTGAACAAAGACTTATTTAAGCATTTGAATGTGAAAGGAAAGCACCAATTGCTACTTTTAATATTACAATTTGACAAATTTGTGACTAAAACACTGTATATACAAAGAAGATTTGAAATCTATGATTATCTTGGGTTTGTGGTAAATGAGAGCCTTGGATAGAAACCTATTTAGGTCAATGATGTTGAGCATAATGTGAAGGTTTTAAAAGAGACACAGTGATTAATTTTATATATGATATGAAATATTTCATTATTATAGCATAACCTATATGATGAGTAAACTATAAACATGCATATGTATCTGAGTAATTTTGGAAGGCTAACTGATAAACTTCTAGTTTAGGAGGGAGTGGATTCCATGTATAAGTGAGATCATGCATACTTGTCTTTCTCTGCCTGGCTTATTTCACTTAGCATAATGTCTTTCAGAATGAGTATTTGAGATGGCAGATACATTAATCAGCTTGACTTAACCATTCTGCATTACATACATATATTACTTTGTTTTTTTTTTAACTTTTATTTAATGAATATAAATTTCCAAAGTACAGCTTATGGATTACAATGGCTTCCCCCCATACATATATTACTTTGAATATCACAAATATTTACAATTAGAATTTGTCATTTTACAATAAAATTTTTAAAATAAAATAAAATTAAGTAAAAGGGGTGGGGATGACCATTTTAAATTCTGTGCTGTAAGATTTGTTTTGAGAGTTCTCTAATAAATTAATGGTCTTGGGAAAAATGTTTCATAGTTGACTTGTTTGTTCTGGCAAATTGCTCCTATAATGGATTTAGATATGCTAAGTGATATATGAGTACTGATAAGGGAAATGTGTATTTTACTGATAATCTCTGAGTTATATAATCATAGGGGTATAGAGAATGTTCCCTTTCTTGAGTTCTATGCAAAAGTTAAGAGTCTAGGGTTACTTCAATCCTTATGCATTTTGTGGCTGTCTTTATCAGAAACACTGGTAACTCATGTTAGGGATTTTAGTTAGGGATTATTTCTTTATTTGAAAGAGTTACAGAGAGATGGGGGGGGGGGAGAAAGTGAAAGCGAAACAGGAGACAGAGAGTCTTCCATCTGCTGGTTCACACCCCACATAGCCACAATGGCCACGGCTGGGCCACACTGAAGCCAGGAGTCAGGAGGGTCTCCAGGTCTCCCACATGGGTGCAGAGGCCCAAGCAGTTGTACTATCTTCTGCTGCTTTCCAGGCCACTAGCAGGGAACTGGATTGGAGGTGGAGCAGCCAGGATATGAACCGGCATCCATATGGGATGCCAGCATTGCAGTCGGGGGCTTTACCCACTAAGCTACAATGCTGGCCCCTTAAGGACTCTTTTAATTGATATTATCACTTTAGTGTGTAAGATCTGTCCTATCTGGCAGTGTGTTTGATTGCATCATGATGCCTTTGCACTTTCTTATTAAACAGTTTTAAATCTGGCATCATAGCTGAAATCATGAGATGACCTCACATAAATTAATACCACTTATTCCTTACAGCCTCTATTAAAACTGGACTTCATTAACATTAAAAACTGTACAGTATTGGCCAGCACTGTGGCCTTGTGGTTTAAGCTGCCGCTTGTGACATTGACATCCCATATGGGTGCTGGTTCAAGTCCCAGCTGCTCCACTTACAATCCAGCTTTCTGCTAAAAGCAGTGAAAGATGGGCCAAGACCTTGGGCTCCTGCCACCATGAGGGAGATCCAGAAGAAGCTCTTGGCTCCTGGCTTCAGCCTGGCCCAGCCCTTGCCATTGTGGCCATTTGGGGAGTGAACATGTGAGATGGAAGATTCTCTCTCTCTCTGTCTCTCTCTGTCTCTCTCTCTCTCTCTCTTTGTAACTCTACCTTTCAAATAAGTAAAATAAATCTTTTAAAAAACTGCTCTGTGAAGCATACTAGAGAATTAAAAGCCAATCCACAAAATGAGGGAAAATCTTTGTCCTAAAAATATGTTTTTTGAATTTTGTATTACTCCCACTATTATCATGAGGAAGGAGATTTAGGGGATCTCTGAATATATTTTCTGTAAATTCATTGTTGTTTTGTGATGGGGAAACAAACAGAAGTAACAGGATGGCAAAGGGGAAAGGGGATGTTATTAGTACTCGATAATTGTGTGTGGGACCAACATAAAGGTTGTCCATTGTAGAATTTCCATAGTCTGTGATAATTTACAAAAGTTATAGGCCAGCTTGTTTTAGAGCATCTGTGAAAGACTAATGGTTTCTGGGCTTATGTCCAAAATAGGGCAAGGTTACTGTAGATGCATGAGTTTAAAATACATTTTAAAGTGCCACGGTTTACTTATAATCATGTTAACATCCATAATGTTGGGTTAACTTTTCCTAGCTCTGCTCAAATGTATTACAGGTTACCTCCTACAAACCACAACCTAATAAGGGGCAAGTGGACAATGATTTGAATTTGTTACCTTTCACATGATGGCATATCTGGTGTGACAACTACAAGTGGAATGTAGATAATACTTGCGAGATAATGCCTTAAGAAATAGAAAATGTCTGAAAATTATTTCAATTTGCATAAGCAAACAAATGGAATTCTTGATATTATTGAGCAATACTACTATTTATCATTAATCTGGAAAGCAGGATGATATTTTAACAGTGAGTTAGTTTTTATGACAAGGATTTCAAATTAGAGCTATGAGGATTCATCTTAGATCTATACAGAAAAAAATGTTGCATATTCCAAGTCTTGTTTTCCTCAGGAATTCTGAAGCTTGCACAGTATACATCCTGCTTTGCCAAAACACCAATGAATTCCCTTAAAGAAAGTGTGAAACCAAAATCTATCAACACATTAATATATTATAATGATGAAAAGGAAAGTTACTTCCCATTCTTTGAATACAATGATGTTTGGCTTCAATATTTTTGTTTTATGGGTAAAAAATCGCATCTCATAAATATTTTGAGAGTGAAACAAGAACAAGACACTCAAAATCTATGGATATTGGGAACATTTTAAAAATTACTAAACAGCCTAAAGTCCCATATATACTATTAGTGGCACAGAGATCCTAGGATATTAAAAACTTCATCTTTTTAAAAAGCAAAAAGGAATGAATTTAGATACTTTTACAAAATGATTTCATAGCATCACATTGTAGCAAGTTTAACATGTACTGTCTCTTTTAGGACTGGATCTGCCATTTATGATGATGCCTCATCCCCTACTTCCAGTCAGCTTACCTCCTGCATCAGTTGCCATGGCAATGAATCAGATGAACCATCTCAATACTATTGCCAACATGGCTGCTGCAGCCCAGATTCACAGTCCACTTTCCAGAGCTGGTGCCTCTGTTATAAAGGTAAGAATCATGATTTACAAGAGGACAAAGATGTTAATTACATGTGAATCTTGCTAAAATATTAGCCAACCCCCTGGATCTTCATTAGCAACTCACAGCTCATTGACTCAGTTGGTAAGTATACAGTATTGATGAGCTTGGTTTCTGACTAGGCCTGTCAGGTTTTCTTTTGTTATTATTGTTATTTGTTTCTTTTCATTCCATGACCACATAACTCACTTTTAATTCTTTCTTCCTGTCTTATACTCATATGTACAGTATGTTGGATGCATGGCCAGACTAATGACAGAGTAGAAGAGGGTACAAAAACCATTCCCATTTCTGAGGTGAAGCAAAATAAACACTGGGGATCTTTTTGGAGTTTGAGAGGCAGTTTTGAGAGGCTATATCACATAGGCCATATGGTCAGATGGACTAGGGCTCCAATTCTGATTTGCCACTTATTAGGTAAATGACCATTGATGTGACACTTAACCCACTGCAATGTGTTCTTTCAACTATAAAATGGATGTCATAGTAATGATCTATCCCAATTAATTCACTGGCTATCTGGAGATTATGCAAATAAAATATATATTAAATCCTGTGAAATATTAAACAACCACCTTTCATAATTTATCACATTATCATTATCATCATTAGAAATCTTTTTTTCAATTGCTTATGGCCACTGAGGTAAACATAAAGGATATTTTAGAATTTCTCCTGTTTCCTGTTAGTTTGGAACATGTGGCCTCTCTGCTCTTTTTCTAAGTATCACATGGACTACACTTTGGAATATTTTTTTCTTTTAATGAAAAAGTAATATAAGAGTATGTAAAATTCTAAGACTATAGTTAGTATAGCAATATTCATTGATTTCTTCCTTTGTTCCTCCTGTTATTTAACAAGCATACTCTTACATGTCATTATATTGGAAATGTGGAAAATTGATAAGACATATTATATGATTTCTAGGAACATCGCAACTAAATGTGAAGCAAATAGTACCCATTGAACTTATACTAACAGGATAGACTGTGATAGATAATGTAAGAAAGCCATCAAGTATTACAGGAATTTGTGGGAGGGAGAGAGCTTACCTACCTTGGAGAAGAAATGAGATAGGTATCAGGAAAGGTATTGTAGTTGATAGATTTGAACTGAGACTTGTAATATTGATAAGATAATAATAAATAAGCAGGGGCCGGGGCTGTGGCGTAGCAGGTGAAGCCGCCGCTTGCAGTGCCGGCATCTCATATGGGGGCCAATTCAAGTCCTGGCTGCTCCAATTCCAATCCAGCTCTCTGCCATGGCCTGGCAAAGCAGTAGAAGATGGCCCAAGTCCTTGGGCCCCAGCACCCATGTGGCAGACCTGGAAGAAGCTTCTGGCTCCTGGCTTCAGATCGGCACAGCTCCTTCCATTGCGGCCATTTGGGAAGTGAACCAGCAAATGAAAGATTTCTCTCTCTGCTTCTCTTTCTCTCTCTGTGTGACTCTGACTTTCAAATAAATAGATAAATCTTTTTTTAAAAATAATAATAAATAGACATGGAGAGAAAAGAAGTGAAGGTAGAGAAAATGTGACATTGTTGACATTTTCGCTCCATTTTAAAAATAATTGCCATTTTGAGGAGCTTCTAAAACACTGAAAAAAATTTGGAATATAACCCATGTAGGAAAGGAAAATAAAATCAATCCTCTATCTATAACAATAGCCGAGTAGAGGTCTGTTTCTTGTAAAGATTGTGTCTGTTAATGGGTTAGCCTCTCCTAGCTGATCAGAGCCCTGTTTTTGAGTATTTGACCAAAATGTAACTGGGAATTAGAGTCATCTTTGACAATGAAATTACTCATGAACATTATTTAAAAAGTGGAATATGCTTCCTATGGTTATGAAACTACATGGTTACTAAGAAAACATGACCTCATACACAACTTAGGAAAGTCTATTAAAAAACCAAAAAGCAGTTCGAAATTCTATTCTTTCTTTTCTTTTTTTTTAAGTGATGGAAGAATACTCTTAATGGATGCATGCTTATGGCTTTTCAAAACTACATTTGCTCAGTTTTTGTAGGTATCATTACTCAGACAAAATCTACTACGTTCTGGTTGAAGTTTTTGAAACATTGGGTAGGTTTGTGAAGATTTTAAGTGAAGACACCAGGAATGGGACTAATGAGTACAGTTTCCTCATTGGTGATGATGATTTTAGTTGTGGAATCAGAAACAATAATTATCTTCACCTTAATCCAAATATTATTTTATTGTTCTTATTGAAGCAATGCCATTTTAATTATTTCTGATTAGTCCATTTCACATGCAACCTTCTCAAAAGACAGAAATGCCACAAATGAAGCTTGACATTGCTTTTTAAAATCTGACATTCAATCATATGCTTGTTAAAGTGCTACCAAAAAATGGAAATCATTTTCTGTTTAAGAGAAATATCTACTTTCAACTATCTTGATTACTGGAAATTGGAAGAGACATATTTAATTCAAATGTCCTTTGATAAAATTTATTGGTGAAACTGTAAGAAATATATCTCCATTGGAGATTGATAGGAAAATGAAAAATGATAAAAATCAATTTAAAGGAATAGCAAAAGGGTTTTTATAGAGTCATCAGGTATTTTTAAAATATTTATTTATTTATTTGAAAGAGTTACACAGAGAGAGACAGACAGACAGAGAGGGAAAGAGAGAGAGATCTTTCATATGCTGGTTAACTCCCCCTATGGCCACAATAGCCAGGGCTGGGTCAAGCTGAAGCCAGGATCCAGGAGCTTCATCCGGATCTGCCCCATGAGTGGCAAGGACCCAAACACTTGGGCCATCCTCTGCTGCTTTCCCAGGTGCATTAGCAGGGAGCTGAATTAGAAGTGAAGCAGTCAGGACATGAATCAGTGCCCAAAGGAAATGCTGGCATCACAGGTGGTGACATCACTTGCTACGCCACACCGCAGGCCCCAATTCTGTTTGTTTTTGCAGAAATGCTTTTGCATAATAAGGGTATTATTTGCTTCAAAATATTAATTCACAATAAAACCATAATAGAGGCAGGAATTGTGGCACAGCATGTTAAGCTGCTGATTGCGACACAACATTCTGTATCAGTGCCAGTCGGAGTTCCATCTACTCTGCTTCCACTGCAGCTTCCTATCAATGTACATGGGAGGCAGCAAATGATGGCCTAAGGGGAAACCTGATGGAGTTCCAGTGTTCTGGCTTCAGTTGTTGTGGACACTTAGGAAGTGAACCAGTGGATGGAAGATAGTTTCTTGCGCTCTTGCTCTCTCTCTCTCCCTCTCTCCCCCCATCTCTCCCCCTTCTCCCCTTTTCAAATAAATAATTATCTAAATAAAACATTCTATAAAAAAGAAAAATTAGAGGCCAGGTGTGGCTTAACGGGTTAAACCTCTGCCTGCAATGACGGCATACCATATGGGCACCAGTCTGAGTTCTGGCTGCTCCACTTCCAATCCAGCTCTCTGCCAATGTGCCTGGGAAAGCAGCGGAAGATGGTCAAGTCCTTGGGCCCCTACCACCCCTTGGGAGACCCGAAACAAGCTTCTGGCTCCTGGCTGCAGCCTGGCCCAGCCCCAGCCGATATGGCCATTTTGGGGTTGAATCAGAGAATGTAAGATCTCTTCCTCTCTCTCTCTGTAACCTTGTCTTTCAAATAAAATAAAATAAAATAAATCTTTAAAAAAAAGAAAAACTATAGTAAAAGTTTTCTAAGTAATTGATAAGTGTGTATTTATATCTTAAAGCTTTACCTTCTTTGCAAGAGAAATTAGCAATGTGATACAATCCATACTCATTTGATACCCAATTATAAAGACAGAAATTTCACATTTCTATTCATGTATCTTTCAAACAAATTTGCTTTTAATGTGATTACTGGTGAAGCACAGTTTCAAAGTTTAGTCTGTTAGAATCTTGAATTAGTTGAGCATACTTGTGTGAAAATTCATCGTAAGAACTACTCAAACAAAAACCTCATTGCTTTATTTGCATTTACAACTTTTTTTATCCTAATAGTTGACTTAAAACATGTATATTAGCATTACTCACTGTTTTACAGAATATATGAATTGAAATAAGCAAATCTTTTATATTATATTTACCATTTAGAAGTAAACTATCCTTCCACAATATGCATAAGAAATTTAACATTTAATATTCAGAAACAAATGTCATAACTATGAAATTTGATTTCTTTGTAACAAATCCACTATAAATTATGGGAAATAAAAATGGGCTGATTCCCAGGTCCCTCTTTTCTGTGTATCATTTGATCAATGTAAGATATATGTTCAAAAATATTTTTAAAAATTATATACACAGGCCGGCACCGCGGCTCAATAGGCTAATCTTCCACCTAGCGGCGCCGGCACACCGGGTTCTAGTCCCAGTCGGGGCGCCAGCTTCTGTCCCGGTTGCCCCTCTTCCAGGCCAGCTCTCTGCTTGTGGCCCAGGAAGGCAGTGGAGGATGGCCCAAGTGCTTGGGCCCTGCACCCCATGGGAGACCAAGAGAAGCACCTGGCTCCTGCCTTCGGATCAGCGCGGTGCGCCAGCCACAGCGCGCCAGCTGCGGCGGCCATTGGAGGGTGAACCAACGGCAAAAAGGAAGACCTTTGTCTCTGTCTCTCTCTCTCACTGTCCACTCTGCCTGTCAAAAAAAATTATATACACAGTAATAGAGTAGGACATATTACAAAATTGACCAAAATATGTCTACATATTAAAATCTGTGAAAATTCACAAAAAGTACTACAAAACTTATTCATATATTTAAATTATTCTTGTTTGCATATCTTTATTTTTTACTTGCAGGTAAATCTTTTTCCTTTTTTTCATATCTCTTGAAAAATCCTTTTTTTTTTTAAGCAAGCTGTGATACTGAAACAAGTTTCCACAAACTATCCAAGCACCTGCCACTCCTTTTTTTTTTTTTAAACATGGTTTGGGTTAGGCTGATGCCTATGTTAACACTTGTTACTGATGATCACGAGA